GGGGGAGCGTGAGGTGGAGGTGGAGGCGTTTTGTGTAGGTGGAAAGGGGGGAAGATGTGTAGTGTTAGAGGTGTATAATGTATTTCGAAACACGAAAAAACGGAGCGTAATTGGAGGTGGATGGGTGTGCGCAGGCTGTGCTGGGCGCTGGCGGTGGTGGCGTGCGCGGGCTGTGCGGCCGCGCTGGTGCACGCCTCGTACCTGAGCTTCGTCAACAGCCCGCTGGAGGTGTCGGTGACCACGACGCACTTCCCGCTGCACGAGTTCGCCTTCCCGGCCGTCACCGTCTGCCCCGCCGACCGCATTAAGCGCGAGTTGGCCGAGCGGACGCTGGCCAGGTGGGTGGCACGCCCCCTCTCAGCCATCTGCACCACGTGCAGCACTACGCACGCCGCTTTGGGCGGGTGAATCTTTCTTTGACCCCGTGGTAAATTCATAAAGTGATGTTTTGCTGGAAATTAGATAAGTGTACTCAAAAGGACATGTAGCGTAGGTGTCAGCTGCCCGGGACGGAGAAAAATTTCGTCGCGCCCTTATTTAGGTATTTCAATTTAACAGACTAAAATATACAGTCATTCCAAAGAACGTTCCCGGCAAGAACAATACTCTTTAGTATGTATTCTACAAGTTACAAAAAAAAGTCATCTGTGTATATTTTACAATATAATAATCACTATACATTCAGTCGTCACAATATGTAATGAAAGATTCCTTGCTAATGTTAATCGATCCGAATCCTAGGTGCCACAAATATAAAATGAATTCGTTCAAGTTTTACAAAATATTAATCTTGTTGTTGCGAATAAGCTCAATTGGAACTACGCAAAGTTCTCAGATGTGTTTCTTAGTCTTTCTTTGTGCCCATATTTCTGTCATCCTTTGGCTATGCGCCTTTTTTCTCTCTTCGATTCAAGCTTTTCCTGTTCCACACTTTAGTACTTCTTCCAAAACAAGCCGCCATTACTGCACCTAAATCTAAATGTCTTACTATTTTCAACGTCTTCTTCCACAATCCCTAATAATTTAAGTTTTTTTTTTTAATTTCGTTGGTCCATTTTATAGTGCCAGTTGCTGCTTTACTTCTATTCTCAAAAAATTAAACTATTTTTGGTAAGAGTATTAGGATTCATTCTTTTGAGGTGTCCATAAAATTTAGTCTTCGTTTTCTGATATCACTTTGAACATCCGTATGTTGTCTGAATTTGTTTTTTGTTTCGTTGCCGAGTCTGTACAGCTCGTTCGTGAATTTTGAACCAAGAATTTTCCTCGTGATTTTGCATTTGTTTTTTCCATATTTTTCGTCTTTTTTCGTTGTCAAAAGTAGTATTTCTGAGCCGTATAGAAATTTTTGTTTTATCACAGTATTATAGTGTCTTAGTTTCGTTTCCTTTGACATACATTGATATAGATATATGAAATGAGACGATGTGCTGTTTCCATTTTTTACAACTAGAGTCATTGGCCTCAGTTCCAAAAATTTTCGTGAATTATTTCCTTGGGTATTTAAAGTGTAGTTTGGCTACCCCTTAAAAGTGCCGCCCGGGGCGGGCCACTCCTGCCGCCCCCAATACGCTACGCAACTGAGTGTACTAATACTGTATTCTCCGAAACATTCTGTAAACCATTTGCGAGTATGCTGTTTGAATTACATTTTCTAAACCAATACGAAGTACACAGTGGTAACACAGGTCTGGGAAATTAAATTTTTGTTCTGCGGTACAATATTGAAAAAGTCTCTAAAATTAATTTTGGTGTACTGAAATCAGATTTGCTGGCCTTTTTCACCTCACGTATCAATTTCGTGCCATGCAGAAAGTAAATATTTTAGTTTTAATAATTTCTTGTTCCTTTTGAAATGAATAAAACACTCTAAAGTATGATAAAAATATTGATTGCACTGATACAATAGTTTAAAATGAATACTGAAATTTCAAACTCACTTCAGGAAAACTTATTTTTTCTTTTGCATTTTTGAAAACTTTCTCTGAGTTGACTAACGATTATGGTTCAGAAGAGTGTTGTATCTTATGAAATATCAACAGTAGAACAACACACTTTGGACCCATCGATCGGGACTTTTTATCCTGCAGCTGTTTCGTATCCGCCTGAAATCTCTCTCCCTGTTTTACACTTAGTACTAAGTTTTCCGGGAAGTATTCAAGATTTGAATGGAGTAAATGTAACTTCAAGCTATGTTACTACTACCGAATGTGTTAAATTTGTCCAGCATTGTTTTCATACATCGTTCCATATCCGTAGCCAAAATTGCGCCACACCTTTCAGTTTATTTTTTAATTGCGATAAACCATCTTTAAATTTATAATTTAAAAATTCACGGTGGGTTTTCGCGATTTAAAAAAACGAGAGTGATGGTGCAATTCCGATTAATCAGATTCGGATTCAGCGCGTCGACGCACATAGAGAAACGTATGTGAAGTCTTTGGGCCTGGCAGCAACCCCCGGAAACAAACAAGACGTCACGGTGGTTTTTCGCAAGAAAAAAGTGGAGAGTGTTGGCGCAATTCTGGCTTCAGATTCGAATTCAACGCGTCGACTTATATAGAGGAACATGTATGAAGTGTTTGAGTCTGACAACTTTTTTTTGTTATTTAAGATCATCTACTACTAGGTCATTAGCGTCCACTATTTCTTGCAACGGTACGGTAACTGCTGGTGACACGATATGATGATGATTGATGATAGGGGGTGAAAGGACGAACACAATACAACTATGCCCGACACGGAACTCGAACTCGTGATCCTTCAGTCCGAGATCGCTACGGCACTATCGCCTTAGTGATCTCGGCCATCCAGACCGGCTTTTTATTTTTATTGTGTGCGCGTGTGTGATTTTGTGAACAAAAGCACCGCACTATCGAAGAGCTCTGATGGAGGTCGGAGAGAAGTGAGGAGCGGCGGCGCGTGCTCAGGTTCCTCAACGAGAGCCTGGACGAGGAGCTGCAGCAGCGCGTCAAGTTCTTCCTGGCGGCGCTGTCGCTGTACCAGCACCCGCTGTACGCGCGCATGACCAACCACCTCAACGAAACGCCCGCGGTGCTGCAGCGCCTCGCCGCCCTCAACATCACGCAGTTCATGCTCGACGTGAGTACGCGCTTCCCTACCACACTCGGCGAAGGAAATGGTAGTTTAAGTAACAGGGCGCGAAACAAGTGATTCACGCACGAGTCGAGTTGGTTGTCTGAGCGCAGCGAGGACGACAAAGCGGCGAGTGCGGGAATCACTTCGCACCCGTGTTGCATATGCTATTTTTAATACGCCGTGAGCGAAACGCAATATGTCTAGTAAAGGAATGTAACTTAAATATGAATTAAATAGAAATACCTTACTTGTACAAAAGTAAATGGATTCCAGACGTTGCCGTAACGCTATTGGGTAAATAATAAACAAAGACGTTGTCAAAACGAGAAACAATTGCGAATCGTTACATATGGTTCGCACACGCTTCGCGATGTGTCGCACACTGTGAAAAAATTAGCTGTTTCGCACACAAGCACGAGAAACCATGTTTTGCGAACAGCATGTTAAAATATATTTTTCGTGATGAATCTGCGTTTCTTTGTTACTACCGATGTCTTATTCGATTAATATTGTTATGTGACGTATGCTTTCATTCGTCTTGACAACGTGAATTTTATTGGCAATATAGTGCATAACAATCCAATAAGGTAGGCACGCACAATTTTTGTCATTTTTTTGTCTAAAAAGTTCGATATATTTCATAAGTGAGGTATATAAAAATTCATCTTGATATCCTGCGCATCATACGCAGTACAATGTTTCTAAAAACAATATTCCAGGCTTCCATACGGAATGATTTTATTCCTCCATCCGATTTGGTCGCTCCTGCTGTCTGGCGGCTTTTTAGAGAACCTCTAATAGGAAGCCTGCAAGGCTTCGAAGTTAGAAACTCTGCCACATGAGAGCGTTGCACTACAGTCCCCGGAGAATCACCTCTTGAAGCATTCTGTATTCTTACTCACTTCTACCGCTCGGGTGTTCAAGGAAGAAAGCACAGCTTACGATCTGCGGCTGCGTTGTTGTTCAAAACCTATAAACTCTCTTGTCCAGCAGAGATTAATAACACTGCAGAATCTGTCTATTCTCTCAATATCCGATAATACAAATAGCATTAAAGAAATATACAAAATAATTCATACTGTAAGAATTCGTTTAACTTCTGAACCTAGTTTCCTATTTCACTTAAATACAAAAGAGGTAAAAATTGACAAATAGTGTTTGGTGATGTATAAAATGTGAATAAAAATGTATGAAATCTGTATGAATCTGAGGTTAGAACTCAATAAATTGGTGCAAAGAGAATCGTGCCGAACAATTAAATATCTCAGAAGATATACGTATAATAAGAACTTAAAAGGAATTACTATTACCCAAATAAATATTGCCGCTCTTTTCCATTTCCCTGCGCGCACATAGCGTGTCATTTGCTAGATTTTCCTCACTCTTTTCTGAAATTATTCTTGGAAGATTATTTTTAATATTTAGTGCGAATTGAGATATGAATTGAATTTACAGGTAGACCTGGATTTTAACTTTAAAAAGATATTGCGTGGATCCCTATGGTTCCACTTCTTTTGGTGTTGAGCGCAAGTTTGAGTACAAAACGAATATTAAGGGACAAAACGAGCAGTTTCGTTTGCATTTCAACGTTTAAAACAATGTAGTTTCGTAAATAGACAATTGATAGATGATTAGAGAACTATTTCAGAAATGCAAAAATAGTCAGTGTATTTTAGTTGACGACATGGTTAAATCTCTTTCTGTGGCTAATACGGATCTCAAACCTTCGGTCGTAAAATCCGTGCTGAAGTTCTTTTGAACTGTGTATTCGCACACATGCCAGAATCAAGGTCTCTTAGTATTATTTCAAAGATCCTTAAGATGGGTGGAGATGTTTATTAGGTACACGTTTTGCCAAAAAGGGGTAATGTTTTGCGAGAAAGTCAGAATGTCTGAATAAATGGACGATGTGCCACGAATAACTCTTTCAGATTAGAAGATATTGAGCTCAAATTTGGTAAACAAGCCCAAAGTAAGTTGTCGTTGCGGAGATCAATAGCATATTTTAATTACTTTACAAGAAGCCCCTGTGACATTTTCAATTTATTATATTTATAAGACATATTATACTATCTGAGATTTATTAGTGCAATATATTTCTGAATTTAAGGATTAAATGGTGCCTCATAAGAATACACTTTTATTGAACATTTGAGTAGCTCTTTAATAATTTTGACGTTAGAGTAAAGAGTTGCCGCCATCAAGAGGTTGTCGGTCATTATAATATCCAAATTGTGAATTTCATTACTAGGGGTAAAGATTTTCATGTAATTACATGTTTTTACAAGACCAATATATCTGAATTAATTTTTTGAAGTTTACAAGAGTTTCTGACTGAATCAGAATCATTTTTATCTTCCATGTTTTTCTATATTTTGTTATAATTACACATGTTTATATTTTAACTTATTACTACATATCCTGTTACATTTTAATATATTTATAGGTCAAAACAGAACATTTCATATGCGCGTTTGCATTAAATCTTACTGTACAATACTTCTTAGAAAGCACTGTAGCAGTTCTACACTTCTATGACCAACACATGTTCTCCAGGAATCAAGTTACCGCCCCTGGTCCTTGGAAACTGCGTTCTGTGAATCAAAGATGAACGAATGTTTGTGAAGCAGAAATAATTTCAACCTCGTGTTTGCTCAAGTTTCAAAAAACATATTCGTAAAAAAAAACGACAAAAATCCGTGTCGACCGAAAATCCGACAATCTTTTTTTAAAGATTGTTGTAGATATATAATGGCCGATTGGGGGGTATGTTCCCTTTAACCTCCACCACCTCTGAGATCCATCACTGGCTGTATGGTACCACTATTCACTTGACCACCGGCTCCTCGTAATTAACATTGCTTTTGCTACGAACGTATTTTATACTTCGAATAAAACTCTTAGGTACTGTGAAGATTAGTGTACATAGTGTACAATTACGTTGGTAAAGATAGAACTTTATTTCAGCCGCTCCGAATTCATATTAATATCTGATTGGCTATGTTATGAGCTCGGAAAATGCTTGGTAGAGCCATTTTAAAAATATACTGAACTTTTATTTTATATATTCTCTATTTTTCCTACATATTTCGGAAAAAATGCCCCTCCAACTCGCCCCTCCAACTCGCCCCACCAACTCGCCCCACCAACTCGCCCCACCAACTCGCCCACAACTCGCCCTCCAACTCGCCTCACTCCCCCAAACTCGCCCCTCCAATCGCCCTCCAACTCGCCCCTCCAACTCGCCCCTCCAAACTCCCCTCAACTCGCCCCTCCAACTCGCCCTCCAACTCGCCCTCCAATCGCCCCTTCCAATCGCCTCCAACTCGCCCTCAACTCGCCCCTCCAACTGCCCCTCCAACTCGCCCCTAAAAATCGCTCTCTAAAACGACATATAGAACGGCGTTAACGTCTTCTTTCATCTCCAGACTTCTCCCACTTCAAGCGCCCAGTCATCGCCCCCGTTAAACCCTCTATTTCCCCCTCTTTATTCTCAATATCTACCGCCATACCTCATTGCTCTATCCTCATCTCCCATTCCTCTCACACCTAAATTATGAGCATTATTATTTTTCTGTGTACCCTAATGAAATTGTTTAATAAAATATACACAAAAAATTTAGTGACGTTCCAGATAAAATATACTTGTAGCTATCTTTGTACCATCATCAGGATATCACTACAATATATTGGCATAAACAAAATTGATGTTAAGATACCCGCACTCTTCGTATTGTTCCTTAATACTTGCAGTATTGTGTTTAAAATTTACTGTTGTTATTAAGCTTATAGTGTATTGTGCTTCTCTGGTGTAAAAATTATTGTATATTTATGTAAAGGCTACTGTAAACTAAACGTAGCTTCCTGTAACGTTTCTCAAATAACTTCACTTTTTTCGCCTACTTCTTCTTCGTCCTTTTCTTCGATTTTTTCTTCTTCCCTCTCCCCTCACAAATTTTATCATTTATACTTTTTGATCCCTTCCCCTGTACGTCTTTTCTTTTCTCTTTTACGAACTTCCCTTTCACTCTCGTATATACATACTCAGTTTGCTATTATGTTCGGCCCTAAGCTGCATCGTGATTGAGGTTTTTCTGGGTTTACTAATCGCTTAAGGCGTATGCCGGATGGTCCCTAGATTTGTTTCTCCAGACGTAAATGTACAGCTTGTCCTCCCCCTCTTAAATGTTATTACTCTAAATGTATGTAAATTTCAGTGGTTAGGCGGAAGAGCAGGCCTATGGCTGAGCCTCGCCATTAATAAAGACATTATTATTATATTATTATTATAATTATTATTATTATTATTATTATTATTATTATTATTATTATTATTATATGCATGGGGAAACCCGGTTATTATTATTATTATTATATTATTATTATTATTATTATTATTATTATTATTATTATTATTTTATTATTATTATTATTATTATTATTAAAACGCTGCTCTAACGCATGGTCCGCAGGTGCTGCCCACGTGCGAGGAGCTGTTCCTGGGGTGCGACTGGCGCGGGCGCGACGTCAACTGCTGCGAGGAGTTCCAGCTGCAGCGCTACGAGGGCGGCTTCTGCTACTCCTTCAACTCCCTCACCTCCGAGCGACGCAAGCACTGGCAAGCGATCCTACCTCTTTGCTCTAGCTCCCCAGCTACGCAGCCCCGGTCAAAGCTAAACTTCTGCCCCTCATTCTACATAAATGGAAAATACATTTACTGAAACTAAAAGACTCGAAAACTTATTAAACAAGATAAATTAAAGCGCCATGACAATTATTCTACCGACAAAGGTGGCTCAGAACATCAACTAATGTCACTGCAGTGCCTCTGACCAGGAGGTGCTAGGATTTGAGACCTGACGGTGGCTGGATTTTTGACACTAATTAGCTAGATAACTGAGTAGAGTTCAGATGCGGTCTGGGAGAGAATTCTAGCGGCCAGTTGCTCACATCTGTAGTTCTTTGTTTTCTGCGATAAACACTACGGGAATGCAGGAGCAGTACCCTAACAAGCGAGCTATAGATCTTTCCTTTCTCTTCCTTGACCCAGCTTCACCACTTATTCACACGCACTGGCACTTACATGCACCATTCTACTAAACATGCCACATGCCAGGAGACCGGTAGCAAGGTTAGAACTTGTTTCGGGCGGTTCCACGCTGGTAGGAGATACCAGGGTGGGGAAACCCCGCAAGCCGACCGGTAGATCTGCGTCGGATCTCGCCATCTATCAGAGGAAGATCACCGCCACCTCTGGCGATCAAAAAGCATATACTACTACATTTACGGGACTAATGATCGTACTAGGCGTCGCGCCCGCAATCACCAATGTACACGTAAGCTTCCGCGGCTCGAATCCATAAATTCTCGGCTATCCGGGAGACGCCGCGTCGTTGGCTGGGGTGCCGACGTTTCATCTGACATGTCGCGGGCTTCTCACTGCCTTGAAGCCTGCGACATGTCAGGCGAAACGTCGGCACTCCAGCCAACGACGCGGCGTCTCCCGGATAGCCGAGAATTTACGCAATCACCAATCTATCAGTCAATTCTTCTATTTATTCACAAACTAATGACCTACATTTCTTTCATCAGAACATTGATGAGATTTAAGTTATTCCTTGTAGCTTGTATTCTGCTTTCTCTAATCATGATATCAAATGTATCAATCGATGAATCGATTTGATGATTACCAAAATACAGTTTACAAATAAAGGTGTTGGGGTAACATTATAATAACCCACATTTCACAGATCAAAAACAAAAATCTTAGACTTTCCCCCAAAATCAAACAATATGATCCTAACGCTGTGCAAACGTAGTTTTTGAACTACACTACATGTAAAACAGCAACTTAAATGTAAATTCAAACTGTCTAATGACTGGATTAACATTTTTTCCCTTGGCTTACAAAAATTACAGAAGTGAGGATTATAATTCTGTTACCCCAACACCTTCAAATAATAAATTCTTGATTGGTCGACTTTTTACCAATATTTGACACATACTCGATAATGTCTAAAGAATAGTCTTTATATAATGGCTTGTAGTCGTAGAAGTAGAGACTTTCTTGTAACCCCTAATCATGTATTCTTACACCATAAATTTTACATTAAACTTTGTAAAATAACTACATACTTGCAATAAGACAAGCTTGTTGTAGCATTTTGCCCACTTTCGTTAAGACGGATGCATTGCACTAGGAAGAACAGTAATAACATATTACACTTAATATTAGTATAACAGTAATAACATATTACACTTAATTATAGCCAACCCAACTACTGCTGCTCTAACGGGTAGTTTTCCGAGGATTCTTCGATCAATATCAGACGAATGCCGGAGCAGTGTCCTAACAAAGGGGCCGCGCGCGCTTATTCCTTCCTTTTCTTGTCCCATTCTCACCCCCTTGCTTACACACATTTACACGCACTACACTACCAAACATGACAAGAGTGGTAGTTTAGTTCATGTGATGTGTGTGTGTGTAAGTAGAGGGTAGGACAGGACAAGGAAAAGGAAAGAAAATCGCGCGCATTAGTCCCGTAGTGTACGCTTTATCCCGGAAAAGGGTAACAATCCTCCCTCGCTGTAAGGTGAGAACCAGCCCCTAACAACACGTCGGCTTGGGGGATTTCTTCAACTAGCTACTTTCCGCCACCTGGCACCGCCTCAGCCGCGACCATCTCTAAGCTTCCGACTGCTCTTCCAGCGTGTGTGGCAGTGTAGCGCATGTAAGAGAAAGTATGTGTACGTAAGGGGTGAGGTTAGGTCAAGGAAGAGGAGGAAAAAGTCGCGTGCGGTCCATAGTCCATTTGTTTGGGTACAGCATTGACATTTTCCTGGTATTTATCGGAGAAACCACGGAAAACTACCGATCAGAGCACCCGGCCGCTAGAATTCTCTTCCAGACAGCGACTAAATTCGGTCTAGCTGTTTGGATGCTATTGTTGAAAATCCTGCCACCGCCGGGATTATAATCAAGGACCTCTCTGTCAAGGGTACTGCAGTGGCATCGGTTAATACCCTGAGCCACTTCTCCCGAGAATGTTTCGAATGAATCTTTTTAGAGTCTTACGTTTGATACTAAAAATTAAAACATACAAATCGGTCTATGATTTAAATACATATTCACGGATTTATACACACACATTGTTGGTATTTATAGTTGTCGACAGTTGCGTGGTATACCTCCTCGAGTCCTAAAGGTTACGAGATCGACCAACGGAGAAAGCATTTGCAATTCACACGAAACACCCACACGAACCACTCGCCGCAGAGAAACACCGGGGGGGGGTGAATACAATGAAAGCAGTTAGATTGATCAAACAGTCCCCTCCTTTATTAGGATTCATTCAATTCCTTGAACGTGTAGTTGCCATCGTGGAAAATACTCACCACACGTTGATCATTAAAAATGTTTTGTAAAGCATAATATTTCTCACGTATTATAATGAACTACATTCTTGTTTATATATTCATGAATACGTTAATGTATATACCAGAAGAATCCCACGTAATATTTAGATTCCAACGTTTTTTGTAGAGCGTTTGGTACACAATATTGAAATTTAATTTCAATGATTAAATTGCATTGCGTCTGTACACAGGGACAGTCACTTCAGTTGAAAAAGCCCTCCTCGGGAGGTCATTGGCGTCATTTGTGAAGAGCGAGTGCATTGCATTTCTCCCGGCCTGTTCGCGGGCTAAGGTTCCGACGGCCTCAAGTCGGGCGCGATCGCTGGGCCACGTGAGACACTGAACTATAGAATTTAGCACTGCAATATCGTCACTTCATAAAAGTCCAAAAGTGTGCAAAAGAAGAATATATTTAGAAATATCTTCATCCTTTTGACTCACTGTGAGTGCAACCTTCTGGACATTAGAGAAGAAGAGAAAATGTGAAAAACTGCTGTACAGAAACTCAACAAAATGACATAAGAAGCATTTGTTCATCTAATTTACGAAAAAAGGTGATTTTTTTACCTGAAATAACTCACTCTATGTCACGGCTAAATACCGGAATGTTGATAATATTAGTGTTTGGAGTTCTCGGTTTAATCGTATATTAGCCAGGCGGATAATGTGGGAGTAAGTGCTGATAACAGGATGCTGCCTAAAGTAAGGTAATTGTACGAAAGTGAGACAGTCTTGTATGATCGCAAGATGTATTTTGCTATAAAATGCATAATTATGCATTGCAGGGACTCGATGATGTTTTATGTAAATTGGAGCTTCGTAACCCTAATTTGGAAAGGTGTAGAGAAGCGTCAACTAGGGTACTGTGAGGTGATGTTTAGTAAATAGAAATTTACGTCTCACACAGTGGAAGTAGACACTACACATCATGTCCCTCGATAGACTCAGAAACTTCCAAACACAAGTCTGTTAAATCTCTTAACCGAAACGAACTTCACCTGGAGAGAATGGAGGAATCGCGTCAGAGATCATAGCGGCCAATACGATTTCCGAACCTGTGTTGTCCGCAGAAGCATGAGTAATTCTCTGTCATCTAGCAGTATCATATTGTAATGCAAAGAAATCCATTTTGAAGCATTGTATTGACAAGCGCATTGCAAGCGTGAATATGTTAAGACGTTTCATAGAGGTGAGATTTAGATGTTTTGTTAATGTGCAGAAAATCATGGAGAGACATAGATTTCCTCCACATATAATTTATAATGTTGATGGCACAGATTATAACGGTCCAAGAAATCGGGAAAATGGTTGTGAAAGAGACAATTTTAACAACAGTTATTTCATGCGTGAATGCAATTAGTAACAACATTCCTCCCATGTTTATTTACGCTCATTTACATGATTAATTTTCAATATTTTCCTACGAAAGCGAATGAATCCGAAACATTATTGATTTACATGCATTTCCGGGACACCGTGGAATATGGATTTTGAACGATATACATCTCGTTTTCAGTCTTCGTGTACGTGCACTTTATTCGAATGAAATTTTTTTTGTCATGAAATGAAAGGATAGTTTTGCATATCATTGACATCTCTCTATGCTGTTAGCTGTGGTTTTCACAGAGAACTCGGGATAAGAGAGTTGGTGACACGGGAAGAGAAGGATCTTTACCTGAAGCAAACCGTTTACATCAGATCAAAAGCCACTTGCAACACATTACTTCTTAACGAAACCACGTTTTCGTTTGTCCCACACCTGCACTTGTATTTTCGTTTTGGTTTTCCTAGACACACTTCTCCAGGTATAATTTCAAAGTGTCCCCCTTTGAATTCGCCTTCATTTTTTACTTGTTGTATACATACATATATGCGGAGTAATTTATGTAGTTCAGAGGAAGTTATGTAATGATGCAGAAAATATATTTCAAGACTTCAACGGAAATACACCTTTTGAGGTCTCCTGATACCGAAAAAAGTGTTACTTTTTTAATATACAAGTCTGTTCGTCGTGTGTGGAAAACGCTAGCGCCTACACTATTTTTCAGCTCAATTGTTGCCCAATATTTCTGGAATGGTTCAAAATCCTGAGAGTTTGAAACAATGTCTGTATTCTAGGAGTACTTAACATGAAGCCCCTGCGACATTTTCAAAATTTTCTCAAAAATGGATCCAAATGTTTTCTCTACATTTCTTGCAAGTGTAAAGTAAAATACACTTGAAAGTATAAAGTAAAGTAGCAGTTTTGGCTGCAGCATTACATAATTTTCTCTCAATAATTACTTAAAATCTGTTCTCAATA